GATGGGAAAAAAATTCTACCTACGCCACTGAATTCTTCGTAAAAAGTTGCCCATATAATGTTTTATTTATAATACTCCATCTTTGATAATAAGTGAGATATTCGCGATTGTCGTTTTTGCAAAATTTTCAGTTTTTGCCGATAGGGCGAAAACAAAAGACGATAGCTGTTCGGAGTTTTCGGCATTAGCATTTTCTCGAAAAACGAGATCATGACATGAAAGCTACTTGCCTATGCGGACATCGAAATTGGGACACCCTGTACCGTTTTTGCTTAAAAAAGTACCAAGAATAAGCATTTTTATTCAAAAAGCCAAAAAGTATACTGTCAGAAAAGTTATTGTTATTTTAATCCATAAAGAATACGTTACAGAGCGTATTCTTTATTTAATATTAAATAAAAATCAATTAAAAAATTTAACTTCGACTGTTAAAGTCCTGCTACAAAAACCTGAAACACCCTGTATATAAAATAGAAACCAGTTTAAAAGTACAAAATCAAACTCTAGTTAATTTTCTTCAAAAATTTTTACACGAATCATCATTTTGACTCTAGTATCAAATTTATGCCACGAGTTACAGAAAAACCCTATATAGTTTGAGTCTGTCTATTCTGAGAAGTCATATTTTTAAAGAGATGAAACCGAAAATCCCATTTTTCTCAACATTATTCATTTATCGCTTAGTCAAGTGATGCATAACGCGGTCCATTAAACATTTTTATTGAAGAATTGAAAAGTACGACTTACCCAGTAGCGGTTAGTTCATCTATCAAACAGCTAATAGACAAAGNATTTTTAACGTGTTTTTTGAGTCATATCACATTGATTAAAGAAAATCGTCGATTTTTAAGCCACATGATGATTCTTGAATTTTTCGCAAGTTTCTTAATATTTCTTTTAGAAAATATTAGAAGAAACGTTAAGAAACTTGTTTGTAAAATGGATAAGATGAGAGTTGTTAATCTATTTGTAGAGTCTCTGAAGATGGCCAAAGGCCGAAACTAGTTAGACTTAAATTCTACAGGGTGTTTCAGGTTTTTGTAGCAGAACTTTAACAGTCGATAGATCTTTTAAAATTAACACAAAAACTTCATATAAACATAGGTCGACAAAAGCTTTATTTTGGAGATACAGGGTGTTCAAATTATATTTTTAAATTGATTTTTATTTAATATTACACGTGTATTTCAACCGATTCTTTTCAAATTTGGTATACGGAGGTGTTTTGGCATGAGAAAAACGATTATTAAAATTAAAATAATAATAACTTTTCTGACAGAATACTTTTTGGCTTTTTGAATAAAAATTCTTATTCTCTGAATTTCCGTTTGCAAACCCATAAACAAAATGAATATCCGCTAACTCTTGGTTACGAGAAATAAACAGCATTTTATAAAGTTTTTATGCAGCATACAAAAAATTAAAAAAGTAATCCTTTAAAAAAATTGATCTACCTCGAACAAATAAATCGAACTAAAATGAATAACAATCCTCAATTAGAAGGAGGAAGGATAATAAAAAGCGGATTATCTTGAAAACGAGCGTATTTTGATAAGAGTACCGTTTTTGCTTAAAAAAGTACCGAGAATAAAAGTATACTTACTGTCAGAAAAGTTATTGTTATTTTAATTCATAAAGAATACGTTACAGGGCGTATTCTTTGTTTAATATTAAATAAAAATCAATTAAAAAATTTAACTTCGACTGTTAAAGTCCTGCTACAAAAACCTGAAACACCTGTATATAAAATAGAAACCAGTTTAAAAGTACAAAATCAAACTCTAGTTAATTTTCTTCAAAAATTTTTACACGAATCATCATTTTGACTCTAATATTAAATTTATGCCACGACTTACAGAAAAACCGGTATAGTTTGAGTCTGTCTATTCTGAGAAGTCATATTTTTAGAGAGATGAAAACGAAAATCCCGTTTTTTTCAACATTATTCATTTGTCGCTTAGTCAAGTGGTGTATAACGCGGTCCATTAAACATTTTTATTGAAGAATTGAAAAGTACGACTTACCCAGTAGCGGTTAGTTCATCTATCAAACAGCTAATAGACAAAGATAACAGAAACACAGCATAAGAACATTTAATCAGACCGGAAAAAAAAATTAATAAATAAATGGCTATTAGTGTGAAAGAGGAAACTAACTCACATTAAAAATATCCAAAGATGCTCACATCAAAGAAATACTTAGTCTAAAAGAATTACCTTAAACTCGGCATACTTTTTCCTTTTACCAAGTTGCATGGAAGTGGATCGAAGTATTTAAATCGAGATGATGAAGGACTTTTGAAGTGGACGTCACCGGTATCCAAGCTTCTATGGTAATCCTATACATCTTTATAAGTTAGTATTTTACAAATAAATAAATAATTTGTGTTTAAAAGTTTGAAACAAATTTTAGGTGCAATAAAACAATATGAAGTTAGTGTGCGGAAGAGATTAGAAGAGACACTTAGATACATACGCTAATGTTACTTGAGGAACCCACCGGATGTTCCCTAAGCAATTTTGGTTCAGAATCCTGCCCGATTCTTTCCAAAGCTTTATCCGATTTCGACAGCAACTTCGTTTCAACGAACGCTTTTAAATCAGCCATTTTCATTCTTCTTTTAGTTTTTTCACTCGCCCTTCGAACGTGAGGTGATTCTTCTCGTTGCTTTGTATAAGGTGGTAAGGATTCTAAAAAATCATAAAAAAGAAAAAACAAAAAAAAATAAATTTAAATAAAAACCTGATAACAAGGAGACATCTTTAAGTTCAGGAACCGGAATAAAATCTTTATTTTCTTGATTTTTCGAATCACTCCCGCTTTGATAAACGGAAATTTCAATTTTTGGGATTGGTAAAGAATTGCTTCTTCGTCGCGGTTGTTGTTGTGATGAAGTTTCATCGCTGATATCTCTCAATCGATTATACATATAATGCAAACCCCAATAAATCCCTTCTTCTTGCCAATGAGTTATAAAGAGACATCTTAAAACAGCGACGTCTAGAAACGTCGCCGCGGAAATATCATTAACGGAAGATGAACCTAATAAATTCTTTTTTGAACCGCCCGCGTCACCTTCTGTAGTTGAAGGATGTTTGCTGCTATCTCCAGAAGAATCTTTTTCAATCGGAGGACTTTGTTTTTGATTAATTTTTGTTTTCGTATCGGATTTTAATTTTTCAACAGAATCGTTTCCACCACCATTTCTTTTCATCGTTAATTGAAAAATACTAGTTTCAGCCTTCGAACAAGCAAATACACGAAATAATTACAATTACAAGTCATTAATAAACCATTATTTTTACCGTATAAATCGAAGGATCTCGTAAAAATCCATCGGATTCGTGTAATGAAGGTAATCGAAATATAACGACGTGTTCTTCTTCGGTACTTGAACTCTCCTCGGGGATTGTTTCCGGAAATACCGTGTCTTTGGGGGAAGATAACCAAGATCCCTTAATAATTAAGAATTAAAATTAGGAAATAAAAAGTATTTTTTGATTTACATCGTCATCTCCTGGTTTTGTTATGGTGGCTGTTACTGTTACTGAAGATGATGAAGGATGTTCGAAGAAGGTAACTGGTGCTTGAGTGGGGGGACTTTCAGTTGAAAGTTTTTCAGACGAAGGTTTTTCTAAAAATTAATTATGTAGGCTAAGTTTTTAGGCTGACATATCAAATAGAATATACATAATCTGATTTCACTTAAAGCTCTACTAATATAAGGATGTAATTTCTCTTTCCCTTTGTATTATACCAGTTCTATACTCTCATTACTAGACTGAGAATAGGATATGCGCTATGTCCCACCTATCTGTTTAAAATTGGAATTAAAAATAACCCACAATGCGAATGTGGCGAAAAGATTGATTTATCAAAACTCTTTATTTGTTTCTATTTTGTTGTTGTTTTATTTGAATAATAATGATTTATTTTTCTTTATGAAATACCAATCTTTTACGAAGAAAAACTATTACGGATATGGTAATAAGAACTATTTTACGCATTTTTTGTTTTATCATGGTAGGCTACTTAGTAAAAGCAGAGTACATCATTAAGTCAATATTAAATGTTTTAATTCCTTTGTTGCAAGAAGTACTTAATAAACGTATTGCACATCGTTGAACTGAGAAAGAAAATCTCTATCCAATGAGGTGAAAAAAAAATATACCGAGCAACTTGAAAAACAAAAGTTGATTATTGCAAGATATCAAGAAAATCGGAATATAAATAACAGAGTTACAGCTCGGGGAGTTTTTTTATCTGACACCCTGTATAATAACTAACTTCAGGTTTAAAATGTCAACCTCAATTTTGACATATTTGTAATCTTCATTAAAAATCCTTTAAAATGAGTACAAACACGACATATTTATCTTCAATATTAATGAAGTTATGGTCAACTTCCGTTTAAGAATGTCAACGTCAATTTTGACATATTTGCAATCGTCGTGAAAAATCCTTTAAAATGAGTCCAAACATGATAGGTTTAATTCCAACATTACTCGAGATATAAGCAACTTCCGATTTGAAATGTCAATGTCATTTTGACACTTTATAAAAATTAAGAATATTTTTATAAAATATCTTAATATTTGTCACAAATACAAAAATATAATTAAAAAAATCAAAAATTAAGGTTGGTATTAACATTTAAAAATTAAATTGCTATCTTCATTGTTGCTAACTTCGGGTTTAATGTTTTTTATTCAAACTTTTTTGTTTTCTTGAGATAAGTGCGTCATCTTTGGAGTCATTTTAAAGGTTTTTTTAATAAAAAATGCATCATGAAAGAACGCCTTGAAGTTGTCTATTTGTCTATTATATGATAACTAACTTCAGGTTTAAATGTCAACCTCAATTTTGACATATTTGTAATCTTCATTAAAAATCCTTTAAAATGAGTACAAACACGACATATTTATCTTCAATATTAATGGAATTATGGTCAACTTCCGGTTAAGAATGTCAACGTCAATTTTGACATATTTGTAATCGTCGTGAAAAATCCTTTAAAATGAGTCCAAACATGATACGTTTAATTCCAATATTACTCGAGATATAAGCATCTTCCGGTTTGAAATGTCAATGTCATTTTGACATATTCTTAATTTTTATAACTGTCTTAATGTTTGTCACAAAAACAAAAATATAATAAAAAAAAATCAAAAATTAAGGTTGGCATTAATATTTAAAAATTAAATTGTTGCTAACTTCGGGTTTAATGTTTTTTATTTAAACTTTTTTGTTTTTTGAGATAAATGCGTCATATTTGGACTCATTTTAAAAGTTTTTTAACGAAGATGACAAATATGTCTAAATTGACGTTGACGTTTCAAACCGGAAGTGATTGTATCCCTATTAATATTAAAGTTAAATATGTCGAGTTTGGACTCATTTTAAAGGATTTTTTCTGAAGTTCACAAATATGTCAAAATTAAAAGTTAAAAGTTCAAACTTTTTTGTTTTTTGAGATAAATGCGTCATGTTTGGACTCACTTTAAAGGTTATTTTATGAAGATTACGAATATAACAATAAAATTAAAGTTGACATTGACAACTGAAACTTTTTCACGACTAAACCCGAATGTTTCTCGATATCGTTCTAGTTTTAATCTATTTGTAGAGTCTCTGAAGATGGCTAAGGGACGAAACTAGTTAGACTTAAATTCTATATGAAATAAAAGACATAAACTTTCGTTACATCTACAAGCATTTTACTTTCTTAATTATTTACTGTTATAGAAATCAATGGATAAACTCAATAACATCATTACTAAGGTATTTAAAATAAACGATTTCAATTAAATATCCACATAAAGCGACTAAATATCCTGTTACGAGTAAATAAAAAACTCCTTGAAAATGATTTAAATCTAAAGCTGTTGGGTCCATTTTGTCGCCACCAAATTGTGTATAAAATTTAGCCATATTCTTATTAATACCGGTTTTATAGCCTAAATACCGATACCAACTAATAATAAATCCGTATTCTAAAAATTTCGGGATTTCCCGATCGAAAATCTCCGGGAATGGGGAGTTTTTATCAAAACCAAAAACAACAAAATTCGTCTGTGTGCATTCAGTTAACAATTTTAAATTGTTCAATCCAAAATCATCTAAAGTATCGGTGTCGGTTACGTATTTTTCGGGTAAGGTTTTAACGAATATTGCAAAATTTTTCGACTTCCTTAACCAATTGTTTCTATTTTCAACGTTTGTGTCGTTTATATAATTTTTATTTAATTTATGAACAATAGGATTTAACGATTTTCCAACTGTATAACGAATATCCTCACCGTAACCACCCCAATATAAATTTTCCGTTAACATATCATCTAATGTGTTAACAATTTTTGATAATCTCGGATATGTTAGTATTGTTGCGTAACCCGTTGAGTATCCGGTGGATAAAATCAAACAAGTCACACACCAAAACGTTATCATTATTCTTAAAACTGTTTGATTTTGTGGTGGAAACGATTTCAATGAGTTAATACAAACTAAGCGTAAAGATTGTCCAAAACTGTATAAAAAGCTTTCATATTTATTCGGTTTATTTATTTTCGAATAAAACCAACCTAGAATTGTTAGGATAAAAGATATTAAAAAACAATAAAATATAATTAAAATCCACAACAACTTTTGCATTGGTTCGTAAACGTAAGCAGCTGATTCAACAACGTAAGGTTTTGGTACCAAAAATGTTCCGCAATGTTGAGTGTAGGGAAATGACATTTTTAACCCTCGCTTTGAAATCGACGCCTCCCATTGAGAACAAGCAGCCAAATTCGAATTTTCATCAACAATGTCATTAATAATCGTTTTATAAACAGTCTCTGAATGTTGTCGATTAATAAAATTAATGTTCCATTTTTTTCCAACTGCTTTTATGATCCTTATATCGATTCCTTCGGGATCTTTGTTATTCTCGGAGTAATAATAAACGAAGGGACTACAATCAGCTACGGAAACATTAAATGTTAAAGTTTGATTATAAATTTTAAAGTTGGGGTTCCACTTTGTTTTGATATACTCTTCTTTGTCGATTAAATTGGGGTATTTAATTTGTTGGTGATTTCTAATTACTTTTAAAGCTTTATTGGGGTTAATGATGATTAAATCGATTCCTCGGAGATTTGTTGCCAATAAAAATTGATAATTTGTAAACGTTTCGTTTAAATTTGTGTAAATCACTACTCTTGATAACGATTTAAATTGATTTTCTGATTTCGTCGTAAAGAATTCATTGATTTTCGTGAAATTATTGGTTATTATTAAGTAATCTTCGCAAGCGTTCAAATAAATGTTGGGGGTTTTTATTTTTACGGTTGGTATTAAATTTTCCATTAAAAACTTTTCTATATTTTCGTTTTCTTTGTTATTATTTAAAATGTTTAATGATTTATCATCATTCTCAACAAAATTATCATCGTGGAATAAATAAATGCAATTTACATCTTGAAAAATCAATTTCAAAATTGTCCCTTTAAAGTAATTTTTTGTAAAAACCAAATTTATAAAGTACAAAATCAAAAAGGATTGTTTCATTATTTCCATTTTCTAAAACTAAACAATTTTGGCTACATTACATTCTTAAGTACTCGAAGGAAATTCTTTTTCCTTGTCACCCTTTATTTCCGAGTTGTTTGTGAAGCAGTTAAGAATAATTTATCACTCTTTTTTTGAGGGTTACGTCAACTTAATAGTGGGTTATTTACGTTTTTAGATAATATTTAGGGTGATGATAACTTCTTTTTCTTTTATAAAAACGATGTAACAATTCTTTCTTTTGTAGATAATTTTCTGGGCAACTTTACTTTTCACAACACAAACGTCACACTCATTTATTATTAAGGTTTTCGAATTATTTACTTTAACATGAGGAAAGTTGGCTTATTTTTCCGCTCATGTTTCGAGAATTGCTTGTTAATTGTCAACATTGATCTAATTTCCGTGTGCAATAATCATTTTTACCAACAATAAAGTTACTACCAACTTGAAAATGCCACGACACATAATGAGTTTTCTAATAGTGTTAAGCGAGATATGATTTGTTGTTTTGCACAAACCAGTTTTAATAGTTTAGCAGCACTTCGGGCTGCTACTCAACAAAAACCAATTAGCGTCAACGAAGAAGAAGAGATGCTGGTTCGAGTTGCAGAAAATCCATTATGCCCATTTTTTACAAAACATTTTTTACATTCATATTTCTCATGCTCGAAAACATATAACTACCAAATTTTATGTTAATAGTACAAAAAGCTTCAAAATTATCAAGAAATTTCGGACAACTTTCAACACCCTGTGCCTTGAAAACCACCGACATTTGTATAAGAGATGTTAGGTTTTCCATTCTTTCTGACTCACCCTGTATAGAATTTAAGTCTAACTAGTTTGGGCCCTTGGCCATCTTCAGAGTCTCTACAAATACATTAACAGCCCTCATCGTATCGATTTTAGAAACAAGTTTCTTAATATTTTATTTCTTTTGTTAAAAAAGATCACATATCAAAGTCGAAATCAGATTATTACTTACTAATTTACAAAATTCTATTATATGATAAGTAACTTCAGATTTAAAATGTCAACCTCAATTTTGACATATTTGTAATCTTCATTAAAAATCCTTTA